CATTTCCGTATTACCGGATTACATTCGGATAACATTTCTTACGCCTTCTTTTAAAATACAATTTTATAAGGATACGTTTGTAACGGAAATAAAAAAAAAAAATCACACAATTTTAATGAACTCAATTTTCGTTATATTTTCAGCATGAAAATATTATACGTTTTGAACGTATTATGATACTATTGAGTTAGGATTTGAACCTTTAGAAGGCATTCGATTTCCTCCCCCATTGGTTTAAAACAACGCATTATCGAATATGATTCATGCAACATAATAATAATAGGAATAACGTAATAATAATTGAATAATCAGAATATATATGATGCACGTTTTTGGACAGATTATGGATTGTATACACATTGTTTATTTTAACTTGAAACACTCGGTATTTCACCTGATAATAACATTTAAAAAATAATAAACATGTTTTTGAAAATTTAAGAAATAAGTCAGTTTTCGGGATTGAAACGACTGCCGATTTTGATTTTCAAATGGTCACCTAAATTTTTATTGAAGAGAGAGTTTGAAAATTTCAAAAATTCACATGGTGTATGGAAAAACAGTAGCGTTTTGAATATATTAAATAAGATCATTATACGGTTTGACTGAAAAATAAAACCAAAACCAATTTTATTCAAAATCTTCTCAGATAATCACTGGAGATGGTGACATGAAAAACTATTCTGGTTAATTAGAATATAATCATATGTACCTACCCAATGTCCTATAGTAATCGTTTCCTTGCCGTAACAGACATGTTTATAATTTCCTAAAATTGTCAACATTCCCAATAGCATAGAAATTTTATTATTTTTAATGCTTTTTAAAAGTTTCGATCAATTTTTCGTGCAATAACCGTGTTTTTTTTTTTTTTTTGCGGAGTTTTTGTAGAATTGCGGTTTTGTTCTACGGTATTTTAGAATGTTTAATATTTAAAATACGGAACTCCGGGTGTACGGTAGATAGGTATCACAACTGTAGAACATGGTTCGTAGACGTTAATAAATGCGTTAACTGAAATATACGTTTTCGTGTATAGAACCGGAGGCGCGTACTCACACGCGCAGTATTATATTATACCAGTATAACATACCGACACATGTGTGATGATCGCTTGTGCGCGAATTCTTTTAAATGCCAAGAGATACGCTGTATACAAATGTAATACAAATGTAAATAATACATTTCACTGGATACCTACAGGAGTATATTTCGAATAGCAGTCAACCGACATAACTACTCTCGTAAAAAAATTGTTACTAATAATGGAATACTATTATTACTGTTGTATTATTGTTCATTTTAAAATATGAAGCCAGCGGTCACCAACCGGAATGAAGTATCTGGACGTGTTGACTTTTAATTCTTCCAGTGCTGCAGCACGGCGATAATATATCGATGGTAGAAAGGCAAAAGGTCGTAAACGAAATTTTCTAAAACTTTGAAATTGTTCAAAGAACAAAAAAACAAAACCTTTTCAACTTTTTTTGTACATTTTGAATTTTTGAACTTAATTTCCAATTAACGTCTAAACGTATACGGAAATAATTTGTTTGAAACAATTTTGATTGTGAAATATTAAACAAATTAAAAGTTCCAATAATCATCAATCTATAAAACTTTAAATTTTAAGGTTTTGTTTACGACTTTGTTTTTCGTATTCTGTGGTGTTTAACACTGATCAATTTTCGTCTGTAGTAAACCCCAAATCTATACTAAACGACATATATTTAGCAACTTTGTATTATGATTTTGTCCAACTATAGGATGTAATAATACAGATTAAATAATCCTGCCACTTTCTTTTGCCTTATGGTTATGATTATATTCTTCAATAATGTTTGTCTTCTTTTTCAATGAATTAAAATTAATTTACATCCATTTGAAACTAATATTAAAAACTTAAAATAGTTTGAAAATTTAATAAAACAATCAAACGAACCACAGTCTTGGTATGGAAGATACGCGCCAGGGTTAAATACCCCTGAATAAATAGACAATTTTTAATGATAATGAAATTCACTATGAACAACATAGAATCGAACATTTCGATTTTTAGCCCTTAAAAGCGCTTTTTTTTACCTGTTTACATAAAAAGCCGATACCAATATAAAAAAAATCTTTATATGTAGCGTTCATCTATATCATGTTTGGCCACGTTGTGATGAACGTATCGGAAATGTACTTCGTAAATATTATTTTCCTTTTCAGATTTACATTGCGAAATTTACAATGCAAATATACAATGCACTCTAGAAGTGAAAACAGAATATTACATTTGACTCTACACATTAAGAAAGAGCTACAAGATGGCGCTAGAAGTAATGTATATCCAAATAATCTACAGGTTTTATTAATAATATTAAAAAATATATTGAACATACCTATTCTATGTAAACAATTTTAAATTTAATTTATTAAAATACGGGTATGTTAATATAAAAATACCTATACAATTATTTACGATAATAAACTCATTGAGAAAAAATTTCGATGACTATTTGATCCTGGAGTCTACGCCCGATTTTATTGAATGTTAAAGATTGTAGATAGTGATATTTTAATAAAATATTTTTTTTTTTGAAAAAACAAAAACACTCCATACTTTTGTATTTTGTATATTATTTAAAAAAAAAAAAAAACCAAATCGATATCAAATTACGTTAAGCGATATAGTAATCAGTTTCGAATAACGTTAATCATAAATGTACAATCATATATCACGTTTCTATTAATTTTATTTCAATGAGCTTACAAACCGCAAGGAACGTATCAGCTAATTGAAAAATATAACAGTTTATCAGAATAATTGATCCATTCTATTTTGTTTTTTTTATTATTATTATTATTATTATTATTCGGTATTATTTTCAATTTCAACCGAATTAAGTTTATAAAACTATTTTTATTTTTTTTTCGTTATCAAACGTATTCGTTTTGTTTTGATATTTTCGTTGAAATAAAACAAATGTTGTTTTTAAAGAAAAAATACCCGTTTATCAATCGTGAACGCAGTTCAATCGCGATTAATATTATACGGGGGCAAGACTTCGACAAACAAAAACAACTGTGTGCCGAACGGAACCCAGACACTCAAATGAATCCGATCGACTATAATAATACGCACGCAATATTATTTTAAAAGCTTTCGATCTGCACCGTTCGGTTATTAAAATAATCCGGCCCATTTATAAATCCGTTTTTCCTTTTAATAGAATTATTAACAATGAATAACGTTTTTAATCGTGGCGATGGGAACCGGGTTTACATAGTAAACCTTTACGCCGCCGAACTTACGTGTTTATTTGTATACGTACAGTGCAAAATAGTAATTAGATTTTATTTAATATTATTTTAAATAATAATATTATATAATAACTAATTCGAGTATTATATTCAAATATTGTGCCTATACATGAAATCGAATTTTCATTCATAATTTTAAAAAAGTAACTACAATTCGAGTTCACCATATTATAAATTGAGGTATACAGTTTTTTTTTAATTATTTGTATTTATTTTTAATAAATATCTTCAGCGAATATAGTGATTTAGAATATTCGTAGGCGTTAAAAATTTTAGATTTTAATCGAGGGATGTATTGGTTTTCGTATGATGCGTGTGTGTGGTTTTTTTTTTTTTTCTGCTAATAAATAACTTTTCTACCAGAATTCTCGCTCCAGTCGCAAACCGACTAAAGAACTTTTTTTCTTGCATTTTGGATCTTGTTGGTGCACCGAAAAGTTTATTCTCCATCCACCCCCTTTATAGTTGTGCCATGCTATTCAGTGGTCACTCAAAACGGGTTAGGTTGATAAATGGCACGGATCGGCCGATGTCGGTCAAGATATTGACGGACACTGCGAACCACGATATCGGTCCTACGTAACATGTTCAATTGATACCTAATTATTGCCGGATTTATAATAGTTGGTGGTGTCGTGTACGTGTGTCGATTTCGTACTGGTGGAGACCTTTAATTTGGCACGTTACAATAACTTAACTAAGAATAAATCCACATAGGTTTTTTTTTTTGACGTTTTCGAACTCTAATCATGATTTATTACGTTACATTAAACACCAAGTGCAAGGCGGTAACTGTAAATATATTTCTGAGTAGTGGGGGTCAAATTGTTTATGAAAATCAATTTGGTGTGTTTTTTTTTTTTACTCGATAAATTTACTACGTTTTGCGGAACATTTTTGAGGAGTCCAGACACTCGCCTTGGGCGGGTAATATTTGGGTCCTAAACAGGTAAAAATATTTCGGCTTTCGCAATAATTGTATGGGTTCCGATCCACCGATTACTAATATATACCTGTAATATTATATATTACGAATAATATTATGTCCATTGAACACGGAACAAATATTATTATTGTTATTGTTATAATTTATCGAAGTAATTTATTCGTGAATAATCTGTCGTTATTATGTTGTCCAGTGGTTTTACGGTGAAGGATGATGCGTTCTGACGATAATATTTAATAATGTAATAACATTATGTTCAAGGCCTATCTAAGTACGCACATGCCCGTACAGGTACACGGAATAATGTTTAAATCGTATTTTGTAGAAATTACATATCATAATGATATATTTTCTAGTTGGATATTTTAAAACGTACAGTTTATCGCGTGTATTTTTTAGGGAAAAACGAAAAAAAAAAAAAAAAATAATAAAAACGATTAGCTATTATATTGTTTGTATATCACATAAATGCTCACGACCAACATAATTCTATTCAAATTATCGCGATTATATCATCATAATAATATCAGAATATTAAACATTTACGAATTTATGATGACATCGATAGCCGTATAGAAAAATAAAGTTATTTATACTTGAAATCCGGTTTGTTTATCTAACCGTTCAATTTCTATAAAGTACAATTTCGTACAAATAAACACATGTACGAATATAATAATGTTCCGACTTAAACGGCCACATAAGTCGTTGCAATTTCGTCAATTTCCGCAATTTAAGTTTTCCACCTCTACGCTCGAATACACCACAATTCCAATACCTCCAGTGCCATTTCAACATCGACGACGGGAATACCTTCCAAGTTGTTAACTACTTCTGTTGTCAACCGTTCTAGTTCAACTTCATCGGGAAACTCATGTCCGTTCTTGTCATACTAAAGATAATATTTTCCAAGCGAAAATACTACTAATCTATAAAAATCACTCTTGCAAAAATACAAAACAAGTTCCTTGAGTTTTATTTATGGAAGTATAAGTTAACAAGAAATACAACCGATTATTCTTAGTTAAAATATGTCAAATCAGTAGGCCCTGATGGTATACCTGGTAACTTTCTCTACAATATTAAGGTTGCTATATTTTTTTCCTTGTACTTCTTATTTAAAAAAAAGGCTGCTTTCGTTCTATTTAGACGATATATTATAGAACTTATATCTATGTGTGCTGAAATAATAGTACTTACCCTAACATCTACGATTGATTTCTACCCGTACAATCGAGTCGACATGCAGTAGAACACTAAAATTACTAGGTTTTGTAAAGCGCATTACATTTGGGTGTCATCTCACTGTGCTTCTGAAAATTATTAATTGTTCCTTGGCAACAGCATGCAGTGCTTCCGAGTTCTGGGTATTGACATTTTAAGTATTGAACATCCTCAGCCTAACTATTATAATGTTTAACATTACCTTGGGTCGATTATTTTTGCCGATAGGGAAGTGTTTGCAAACTAAAAATGTTTAAACAAGTTCATAAATAAATTTGTTGATGCGCCATGACTCTTATCACAAGTAAACTTAAATTTTCCTCACATCCTTAAGAAAACTACGTTTTTTTTCTAGTCTCGTCACATATCACATACCTATTACGCTCGAAACCGCCCAATTCGTATACAAAATAATATCATATTACTTATGATAAGGCTGAAAAAAAAGATTATCATGGAATAAATTCGCATACTATAATAACTGTGAATTTATTCGTCTAAGATATCTATGGTTAACAGTGATTCTTACCGTGGGTAGAGTACCGTAAACATTCATTGAGAAAGATATAAATTAAGACATTCTCCGATGGGACATAGAAAAATAAAACACGCATAATATGTTTAAATATCGTAAAAATACATTTTATGAAATTACAATACAAATGAGGATTAAAATGACAGCGTTACAATATTATCTCCACTGACTATCGTCAAGCTGTCTAAAAAAAAAATATAGGCATATATACATGTCGATTAACTAAACCCCGCGGTAACAGTCATTACTAAGAATAAAATGTAAAAAAAAATTGAAAACAGTTTACTACGTAGTATGTATATTATTCTTGATAAATAAAAGCAAAACGTACAAATGTTGTAATGCGTATAAATAACAAACTTTTAAACGTGCAAATATTCAATAAAATTATAGGTACAATAGGTGGTGTATGCGGGTAAAATAAAAGAGTCAACAATAATATTATAGTTGCGGTATGAGCATTGATATTAGGTACGTAATATATGCTTGTATCATGTTGTCACTATAGTTTCGCTAGGCGTTCGCCTTTCATTTTTATTGGTTTAATTACGATTTCGAAATTGTAAAAAATAAAAATCCATAGTATAGTTGCACAATACTTCTGAGTAATTATTGATATAAAAGATGGCTTTGAATTTCCAATAACGTTCCCACCATTTTTCCGTGGGATAACTGACGATCGACATGATCTTGTTCGCCGAAACCGTAATGTTTCTAAGATTGTATTCGCCCTGTAATCATCACACGCAAGTCGAATAATATTTGGTTATAAAACACTTGGTTTCTCAACCGAATGATTTTGAACGTGATTTTGGACACGTCCAATAGTGATTACAGTCGCCACAGTGTTTCTTGAATTATCCCAAGTCTACCTTTAATTTATCTTAATATTAATTAATATTGTAAATTTTATTACTAGGCAAACACGTACACGAGTATATGCGTTGTATTATGACAAATAGCCCAGAATATAATATAGTTTAATTGTTTTGCTATCGTGTACAGATCTAACGAGTACTTACATTCATGGGGCACTTGAGGTCCCTATTGAAATCCTTTGTATCAAAGAAATGTGTTAAATACTCAAATTTCGCGCACATATTTCGAACATTGTAAGATACAGCATTTTCGCAATCCACATAAAATTCCTTACATCTCAAAATCGTAATTGTTGCCTGGAAAAAAAAATGCATGCAAAATGTATGTTGCAGAGTTTAAGGTATTTCGAAATAATATGTGACATGAAATATTTCGTTTTTTTTTTTTTTTGTGTAACAAACCCGTGTGAAAACTTAGAAATTCGAGCGCACGACGGTGCACCAGGCCAAGTTTTAGCAAGCATGCCAATGTTTGTGTTGCTACACATACCTACGGTACTTTCTAAACAATTTACCTGGTTTGACTAAAAATAAAGTTTAAATTGCTTGGGACACTATAAACAATTGAACACTCAATAAAAAAACTTTTCAAAAGAGAAAATTTTAAATCCAGCATATTTGTTACTGAATAACTAAATCAGTAATCACTCACTCTTCAGCAAAATTATTTATTATGTACTTCTCGCATAGGTAGAAAGGTGAAATGTAGAACAAAGGTAGTTTTTATAAAATAATCAGTGGTGTTCAAATTAGTATCCTGCGCGGATAGAAATTGGTAATTGATCCGACCCCATCCAATACCTAAATCCGAAAATTCAAATACGTATCCCCAGCCCCCCCCCCCATTCAACTTTTTGTACTTTTTTTTCCTATATGTTTGTACGTAGCATCCGGAATTTGCATGATACCCCTCCTTCCATAAAATTAAAAACGTTACGAGCGGCTTGGTTAGGTCATATATTACCATAGAAGGTACATTTAGAGTAATTTAGACCGTTTAAAAACTACAAATATTTTGCAATATTTTCTCAAAAAATAAAAAACGAGTAAAAATACGTATAAAAACATAATAAGAACTTTTTTGTTGTATTTGTTTATCTAGTTAGTGACTAATATAGTCGTTTTTTAATTTTCTTTGTAGTGTTTTTAATAATTTAGAAAACCAAAAAAAAAAAAACGTGAAAGAGCGGACAAATTTAAGAAAATAATGCTTTTTATTATTTTTTGTTGTAATTCAGTTAAGAATTTTCATAGAGAACAATTTTATTCCTCAATACCTCATAAATAAAAATGACGTAAAAACCCAGAAGCATAAAATACCTAGAAGCATAAAATAAAAATGCTTTGAAAATTTTTCCACGAATAGAAATTCAGAAAAATTATATTTACGTTTTCTGAATTTCTATTCGTTTTTTTTTTTTGTGCTTATAGGCATTTTGTGTTTCGTGGTTTTTTACGACATTTTTATTTGGTAGGTACTATGGGGATAAATTCTTAGACTAAATAATAACGCTTGCGAATTAGACGGACATTCATTATAAGTCGTACATTTTCGTCAAAAAAAAAAAAAGTTTGTAATGTGTAATTTTTTTTTAAGAATTTTAATTTCAAACAATATATTCTCGAAAGCGAAAAGAGTTCGAAAAAAAATTCATCGAGATGCTCTTTGAGATGGTGAATCGGTAACACTAAATCCGATATTGACGAACACTGGAAAATAAAAATAGGATAAATTCGCGTACAATGTCAAAAGACGTTTTGAACAATATTGTATATAATATTCATAGCTGTGTACTTACATTGATTTTTTTTTGTTCGACGTTATAAACAAAATGAGAGGACAACGATTGCGTAGTACGATATTGATTAATCGATGATTCCAAAACCCTTCCGTAAATTTTATTCGGTATAATAAATTCGAACTTTGAGAAACGGAATTCGCGTTTTAACGGCTGTATCATATCCAGTGGACTCTGTAACACGATATTTAATCATAAGATTATTTTTATAATGAATGTAATATGTTTACTTTAGCCTAACCTTACCTTAGCCGTATATATTATAACTATCGTGGTCGTATACCAACATAACAAATAAATACGCTTCATCGTCTCAGGTCGAATGTAATTCGTATTTTGTTCTAAATATTATAAATCTAATGTTTTTATACCGCTATTAACCACTGCAGAACTATTATCGTTTGTGAACAATGATAAATGCACTTTTGAATTCGTTCAAAATATTTGTATTATTATTATTATTATTATTTTTTTTTTTTTTTTAATAATAGATTATATTGTTGTTGCCCTGCTATTAGCTCGCTGGAGGAGAGATACGTACTAAAGATTAAATAATATTATTATTTTTACGACCGGCGTAAAACATTTTTTTTTTTTTTTTTTTTTTTTTTTTTATTAAAACCTATTTACCATTAATCTTTATATAGAATCAGTTTAGTTTCGATTGGACACACTATTTCATTTTATCCTAAATGCATTGAAGAAGTCAAATTACTTATAATTATATAACAGATCGAGAGTACAAAATCATGTCCCAATAATCCGACAACCATCGGTAAATCGGCCAACGTCTTTAAAGCCTAAAGTAAAAAATCAAAATTACCGGGATTATATACCAGCCTACGATAAGCTCGTAAACTAAAAAAAAAAAAAAAAAAAAATAGTGAGTGAATGACACATTCCCCAACACTTCAAAAAACGACAGGGTGGTATCGTAACAAGAGCATATCTATTTTTAACTCACTCGTAATATCTTATCAACCAAATATATCCGCTCAAATACAAGATGGATTAAAAAGATATAAGATAGAGATATAGATTAAGATAGATCCAAGCTATGAAAAATTCTAATTATATTTATAAAACAATATCCGAAACTGGCAAAATACCCTAAAATATTTTTTAACACAATGTAATTACGATAATATAATACACAACTAAGAGCTATCTAGTCGCATTATAACACAACAATTTGTATTATCTAAGACAATAGGTAGATTTTAAGGTAAATTTACAACTATACGCATTTTTATTTTTGATTGCTGTTCGTCGTTTTTCGTTTAGACTTATACGTAAAACGTGGCCAAACTCTAAACAAAAGTTTTGATACGTCCGATGTAGAGACGGTAAAATGGAAGGGATGGAAATATCTCACTATATATATATATATATATATACACAATATCTCTAATATGAGGTAAATACGTGAATACGATAATAACTTTCAACCCACCTTATTTTGTATTATTCAACCGTGAGTGACGTGAAAAAATCTGTCTATTTTAAGGGAAGTTCGAAAAAAAATTTGGTTTGTTAACCATTAACTTATATTTATCAACAATGAAAAAAAATCGAAATATAGATAATAATATTTTTTTAAATAAAAAATTTTGAAAAACAGCATCGTCCCTCCCCATCAGAAAATTATTATATGACTACTACTGATCCGAAATATTATATAACAATTAACAATCATTTTACATAGCGAATGTCTAGATGACAAATTACAGAAACTCAACTTTTTTTTTTTTTTTAATATAATTACAGTAGTCTACGGGTATTTTTTAATCGACAATCATACTTCAATATTCAGATAATTATAGGTAAATCAGTTATCATGCGTAATTTATATTTTTTTTTCGACGTAAAATCGAATCGTTACTTTAATAACCAAAATTTCAATAAATTCGAAAAAAAAAAATTAATTTAAAGTGCACTAAATATGCTTACAAAACTTATCATTAATCCGTGTTAAATCCCACATTGCTGTATGCGCGAGTAAACAATTAGCTCTTGAAAATCGTTAGCCGCAACTGTATTAATATTGTCACTCCACGCAAAACATACGACAATGTAATATAACATTTCGTTTTTGCAAACTTTCGACTGCGTTATCTAAGACGTTGTGGTCGTTGACACATTTTTTTTTTTTTTTTTTTTACCAGATACATGATTATTTCACCATGTACCTGTGGTTTCATAGAAAATCAAATAATAAGGTAGGAACCGTTTGTCACGCATTCCCTTTTTTATTTGATTTTAGATTCTGTGCATAGTGAAGAATGCATTGGTTTCACTATAAAATGTGATTATTGTTTTTTATTATTGTTATTATTAGTATTGTTTTGTGTCTATTATCCAGGGGCAAAGTGGTCGGTCTGAAAATGGAAATTTCCCAGATGGCCCGGATCAAATTATAGCCCGGTGGTCTGATATGTGTATACATTATTTTTCATACCTTCTCGTATTATTTAGAAATTTAATGAAAATGTGCAACAAGACACATATTATAGGCATATTCTTATTTCAGCACCCATTAAGTGGTATTTTGTTACTATTTCGTTTTAAGTATAACATTAAAATATATACAAATAGATGAAATCTCTTTTCTAAATTTTTAAGGGTGATTGAAACTCCCTCGAAACTTATTCTTTACCAATGACTCGAGTAAAATAGTATTTAACTCCTCTCAATTCAAATTTTTGGCTACGTCACTGGTTCAAATTAAAACGCGAAAAAATGTTTATTTGGTTGGTACGTATTTTATTGGGTGGCCTATTTTTTTATTAATTTCCCGGCCTTAATTTGGTCCCCGTTCCACCACTGCTGTTCATAACTTTTCTGCCGAAAATCTTATTACAGCCGAAAAACGATAAAAGACTTTTTTCGTTACATTTGAGATCTAGTCGATGTATTTAATAGGTTTGATTACCCGTCGGATATCATAAATCTTTACGTATATTTTTCTTTAAAAAAAAAAAAAAAACGGAAATAAAATCGGAAAAGTTTAAGCAATTCCGGTTTCATTATTTTCGACTTTATTATTGTTGTGAATTGGTTGAAAATAATCGTAGAAAACCGAAAATCACAGAAAACTATTTTCAAAGCATACTGGACATTTTTGAGTTATTTATAAGCATTTGATTTTTCGAGCTTTTTTAGTTTTTATTTAGTACCTAGATATTTTGTAAATTAAATTTTTTGGTCGAACGTGACATTTTAATACGGGGTTTACTATTATAATCATACAGAGTGGTCGATTTTTTTTTTCTGTCTTTGAACAAGTTTTTCACCAGAAATTTTTTTTAAACACGTATTAAATATAGTATCTATACTTATTATATAGTACACTCGAGCGGCGGCGCTGTCCGACCAGGATAACCTTGACACGAATACCGGAAAATCCAAAAGAAAAACACTGCGGAGAAGCAAATTATAGGTAGATACCTTTTTTTCTTTTTTTTTTTTTTTTTTTCACTTTCACCCGAGAGGCGTCAATCTGCAGCAGCCTACTATAACACTATAAACAGGTGCCGGCAACGACAATTGCACAACACGAGGCGATTGCCTATCGCCATAATAATATACAGATGGGGTATGGTCCGTTGAACGTAACCGCCGCCACCGACACTATTACATATTATAATAATGTCCGATACAATTTTAACGTTAAACCCTGTCGGCCGGACCGTTATACCGTTTAAAGACGAAAATATGGCCAATTTGATGCCGTAACAGTCAACAGCTCCGCGCGGTGTGTCTGTGCGTATACCGCCCGAGCGATGGTGTCGCAAGACCTGCAATAATCCCGTCTGATCCGCAACGATTTCCCGCGAAAATACTGTCTTCGGATATTGGTGTAATACAGCTCGATGTCACTAAAAATTTTGAACAGTAGACGAACCAGTATGATAGAACACGCACGCCAACACAACCGTTTCCCAATAAAAATAAGGGAAGGGACAAACAGTAGGTGAAGATCCCCCTAAAGTTTACGCAGATAATTGAAACATGAATTATACTGTGAACTAAAAAAATTAGGCAACAATGCGGGACGAATAGTGAGTTGCTTTCAAATGACAGCAGTCTACGAGCTGTTGATCTTATAAAAATAACTGGAAATAGCATCATCATCGTTTCACAGGATCCGGATTCACCACGTCTTCCGGAATCCAAAAAGTCAAACAAATAAAATCCTCAATGACAGATCCCTTTTATAGATTCTCAAATTCTAATGTCTTAAATTTAAACTTAAGTTAAATTGTTCCCCGTTTTGGTTTCTTTTTCTATTCCAGTGAATTTTTCGATTTGCAAGTGATCGGAAATTGGGAACAGAAATGTGCAAGCAGGTTAGGTTCAATAATGACTTTTTTTCACCCGCGTGGTCGGCAAAAATATCATTTGTTAGTTGTTTTAAAAATGTCAACTGTTGTAACGAAGATGTTCAGTATAAAGCCTTGCTGTTAAAACATTTTTAACCCTTTGGGCAACACTTTTTTTTTTTTGAAAATATCTAAATTTGACATATATTATAAAGGTCGAATTTAAATTCCCTTGAAATATTATTTTTTTTATGTCGTTTAAAGTAATCAATAATATTCTCTTAATATTCTTTAAAAATACCAGATGTTTATGCCCTTAGAAAGGCAAAATAATATTTTAATATTCTGAAAAAAAAAATGTATTTTGAGTATTCAGATTAAATTAAATTGTATTTTATTGTATTGGTTTACAATATTTTAAATTTATTTTAAAATTGTAACAGCTCGTAACAGCTGACGTTATTTTGTTTTTAATGACGTGCTATCGCCATCGATAAGAAATATCTAGTGATTAATTTTTGTTAGAAACCCAAAAATATATAAACATAACTCGCTTGTAAAATAAATTGTAGTTGTTGATCAATATTATCAAAACGCTAATATACGTCCATACAAATAATAGGATCAAAAATAAAAATATTTATAAAATATTCTCAAAATTTCAAATATTTCCTAACGTATTAAATATTCTCTAAACCTTAAATTATGTCTTTTTAAGCAAAATAAATGATTTCCTCTAAATTCTATGTTTTATGAATCGTGAAGATATCTTACTCCCATTTAACTACATATACTAGAAACAATTATGTTAAAATCATACAAATCCGACCTCTACAGGGGCGTCTCCGGTCATTGACTGCGGGGGGGGGGGGGGAGGGGAGTAATTAAATTTTATATTAATGGTTGATAAGAAAAAAAACGGACATACGTCGCATAATTGATAGACCACTGTTATAGATGAGAAGTTGGGAAGTTAGGATATTGAGG